GGGTAAAGGGCGGGGGGAGGAGCCCGGACAAGGAGCGGTGAGCACACGGCACAGCACACAGACGGTGCTGGTGTGCCGCGTGCGTTTCACCTGCTCTGTTACGCGTGTGTGATAAACACGCGTGGCCTCACGGACCTCACGGGCCTGTCCTACAGGGCGGCCACTCTTCTGTCCCTTGTGCAGATGAGCCTGAAAGGTGGGGTCACTCCTAGGGCCGCCTGGGGGGCCCTGAGCCATCGCCTGCCAACTCGCCGCCTGTGATCTTACGCAGGTCACCCTCCCCTGCCCGCCGGTCAACAGGCCGCGGTGCCTTTGCGTGCAGTTGGGAGGCCAGGTGAGTGGACAGAGGCCAGGCCCGCTCCCATGTCCACTTATTACGGCAGCAGGGGAAGGTCAGGGAGTAGGTTCTGGACGTAGCACCGTGGAGCCGACTGAGGAGCGTCGGAGGGACCTGAGGTCCCCGCAAGGTGAACGCTGACGTGTGTGTGTCTGTTGGGGGCTGCTCCGGAGAAACAAGGCGCCGCGTCTCCCTGTCGTTTGGAAGCACTTCCCCGCACTCTGCATGCCCGCCCCTGTCCCTTCCCTGCCACACTGCTCACGCCAGGGAGCCAGAGGCCGCTGGGCTGGGTCCTCACTGGCGACACTAAGACGTCTGCTTCCTTTGGGTTCGATGTCAGGAGGGTTTCTTCTTACCAAGGGGGAGCGAGGAAGGTGGGGGTGTGACCCCATCTGTCCAGATTCATGGCGGTTCATCGGCTCTTCTGTTGGACAGAGTGACCGTCACTGGCACGAACCAGTCGGACAGCAGCTTTCGGTAACCGGGTCTCAGACAGGTTTTGTATATTTTGCTCTTAGTTTCAACTCCATCCTGAGTTTCAATCCATGCTCTCCTCTGGGGTGTGGCCTTAAGCTCGGATTCTCTGAACAAAGATAAATGGGAATATAATCGTACAGCTGTCTTCCTGTTTCTAAATGTGATTGCTAAACAGTGCGCCCTGTATGCATCCTGACAATGATGTAACGACCGGCTGCCCCCTTTTACCCTGCAAGCTACTGGGGGCTGTCGTTACCGCCTCCTGGCGTCCTCCTCGCAGGGGTCACGTCTTAATTCCCAGGGAATTTATGTCACAGCCTCTTAGCGTAGCGGCCTCAGGCACGTGGAAGCCAAGCCCTGCAGGAGAGACGGTCGGGGTGGAATTCGCCGTTACTCGAGCGCCGGAAACGGAGGGGGCCGCCCACGGTCGTCCTGCCTCCTAACCGGCAACCTTCCTCTAGGCCAGGGCCTCGCTGTTCCGTCCCTGCTGCTGTTGCTGCTAATTCTCCCCAAGAATATTTTTTTCCCCGTTGCTTTATCAGAGAGAGAGGAAGGGAGGGAAGGAGAGGGAGAGAGAGACATCGACCGGAGAGAGACATGGGTGGGCTGCCTCCTGCGTGTCCGCCTGGGCCGGGGTCGAGCCTTCGGCGCGGGCGGACGCGCTCACCCCTGAGCCACGCCGGCCAGGCGGTCAGCCCATCGTCTTTATGGGAGATCATTTCGTAGATCAAGACCCTGTACTTAAAACCACTGAAATGACAAAAGTCATGTAATCCCTCCTAAACAATCGGAGCCCACGAGCTGTTTTCCTGTGGCGGTTGTGTTTACGTGGAGTTATTCGGGAACAGTCTCGTAATAAGGAAAATTATCGCCAACGGGAAAATACATTTAACTCCCGTGATGTTGGCATTTTACGGCGTGTGAGCTTCGAGTCTGAGTTATTCTGACTTTGTTTTTGTTTCTCTGGGTTTCCAGGTCAACACGTCCTTCTCAGCCTCAAACCGGGGGGCAGCGGAGACGCGAGAGCGCTGACCCCCGGCCGCCCTCCTCCCGGATGAGCAATGGACAGGCTGCTAAGCCTCAGAGGGGTGATCTTCCCTCTAGTGTCCTTCCTGTTAAATTTCGCCACCGCCGTTGAAATACCCCTTTCAGGTAAAGTGCCGGCGTCAATACCTATTTATGGAATGTCGATGTGCATTTTGATTTTTAAGCAGGACACGTACAGATCGAGGAGGTATTTTTGGCCCTATTTCTGTGTGCTTCCCAGCACTGTCAGCAGGATTTTTCTCTGCCTTCCTCAGCTTTTATGGCTCACATTGGGCTGCCGGCTGCAATTCTTTCGCATCCCAGGCTTCTTGCCTCCTGCGCAGACTTGGCCCATGAGGACATAAGCTGGAGATTAGGGGGCATTTTGCCATAGAAGACAGTCTGAAATATGACCAACAACGGTTCCCTTTGTATACTCAGGTAAATTTATTTTAGGGACACTTATGACTTAGAAATAATGGTACCCAACCAATCATGACAGAAAGGGAACTGAATAAACTTTGTATTTTTTAAAAAAATGATTGTATATTTAAGAATGAAAAAATGAGGTAGGGAAATATTAAATAGCCATTATTTTAGTGTACAGATAAACGTATCAGGTGGTATCCGCTGCAAAATCTAAGCAGCTGTCCTGTGAATTTACATCAAGGGGTTAGTCAGTGGTTTTACAGAATACACGTCTTAGCATTTGTTGGTAAAAATGAATGCAGATTTTCATAAACCGTAAATCAGTTCATATAAGTTAGAATAATTAAAAGTAAAAAATATAATGTGTCTGAAAACACAAGGAAATAGTGCATTACCTGTGTAGTGCTGAGATCTGGGGAATTTCTCCTGTTATAAGCACATGGGACATGAGACTCTTGAGAGGTTGTTCAGATATTTTATCCTTAAAGTTCAAGTATTTTCCCTACTGTGTTTCCCGTGTGTAATGTTGAGAGTTATAAACAAGAGGATTTGTCTGTTCTTTGGGATCTCAGCTTTGGGGGTGCCTCCCAGGCCACCGGAGCTCTAGAGAATCAGTCTTGGCCTTGAGGTTGAACACACGCTACAGGTGCCAACACTTCTGAAAACTCAGTCTGGATGCAGCTCGAGGAGGTGGCCGCTCTGAACGTGTCATAGAATGTGCTTGAAACCACTTTCTGAGGCCTCCTTAAGTCACCCGACGCATCCGTCTCGCATCACACACTGTGGGCAGCCTGCACCCGGGTGGGAGACCCTTCTCCAGTCTCCTTGACAGGTCAGGCCTCTGCTTCCATGTCCCCCCTTCTTAGGAAACCCCACTGACCTGCTCCACTGATGTGCAGATTCGAGGTTCTCTAAGTCAAGCTGAAATCCTCCTGCCCACATCCACGATAGGCCAGCCTGGTTGTGGACATTCTGGGAAGGGCCTGAAATAATTCGTCTTCAGTAGGTTTTTTTGGTTTGAGTAGACAATACCTAATTCAGAACAAGGTTTTTCTTCTTTAAAGTTTATTGGTTTTTAGAGAGAGAGAGAGAGAGAGAAAAACATCAATGAGAGAAGAGCTCTGATTGGCTGCCTCCCACCCACCCCTGCTGGGGATCGAGCCTGAAACTCCACATGTGCCCCGACCCCGAATCAAACCGGGGCCTCCTGGTGCACAGGGAGATGACCGGCCAGCGGAGCCACACCGGTGGGCCAAGAGCAAGTTCCCGGTGATCCTTGTGGGAAAGGGGTTAATAACTGCACGTTTTCCCCAGAGCGAGTCCCGATTCACAGCCCTGCCCACCCTCCGAGACCATCCCTTCCCTCCCTGTCTTTCCTCACTTGGCTCATCGGTGGTGAAGGACATGAAATTTTGTCTCAGTTCTCAGCACTCATTTTCATTCCGGTTGTCTCGGCTGCTTATGCGTTTTCCTGCTGCACTGTCCTTAGACAAGAATTGTTATAAAATATTAATGGCATGTTTTCAGAACAGCGAGTATTATCCATTTATTCAGCACTCTGGAGCGCTCACTAGCCAATGAAACCGAGGCAGGTATTCAATCTGAATGTCAACAGGACCCGTGTCTCCATAATTGGCCTAATTACAGAGAGAAGATCTAAAATGTAGAATATATATTCTTATAAACACCCAAAGGTTGTGAGCTCCGTTACCCGAATAATTAGTTACTGCCGAGACTTTACAACCTGAGCAAATTTAGGAAAGAATAATATTCTAATAAACAAGTTGTTCACAAGTCATTAGCTGATATCTCAGGCACCGTCGCTATTGGGCACCGTCCCTTGCCATTTATAAGCATAATAAAATTTAAATAGCGTGAATTTGCAATCAGCGCAAGGCTTGTTCTACTTGGAAACAGCAGGAATCGGAGACAAGGTGAATGGCGGTGAAGAGATGGATGCTTCTGCCTGTCGTGAGCTAAAGTCCCTAAATTTGTAAAACTCAATGATCAGATTCATTAGGGGAAAGTAAAGAAATCGAATTTTAAAATTGGGCGTGTCGAGAAGTTATTATTCCAGGCTGAGCATCCATCCAAGGTGACCTGGGACCTCTCAGGGCCTCAGAGGCACATCCAGGCGCCCGTGAGATCAGACCTGTCACGGTAACACTATGGGTCTTGTTTGCTTTTCCTGTGTGAACACGAGCACTGTGTCACTAAAGCAAAGGGGCAAATGCTGTTTCCCTGGCAGAGACCGAGGCCCTGGCAGCAGGGGGGCCAGCACGCAAGGCGTTCTTCATAACCGTACACTCTCGGTAAAACAAAAATAAAAACCAAAACAAAACAGGTTTGCTGAAGATTGTCCGTCCTGAAGCAGTTGGATGTTACTGCTTTTATTCAGTGTCCATCCTGAGTACACTCTTACTTACTCTTTTGGTTAATCCTTCCCTGAGGATATTTTTTTCCTTTGATTTTTAAAGCGAGTGGAAGGGAGGGAGGGGGAGAGAGAGAGAGAAACGTGGACGTGAGAGAGACGCATCGATTGTTTGCCTCCCACATGCGCCCTGACCGGGGCCGGGCATTGAGCCTACAGGCCAGGTATGTGCCCTTGACCAGGATTGAACCAGAGGCCCTTTGGCGTGAGGCCCGATGCTCTAACCTGGAGCATCCGGCCGGGCTACATTCAGTGTTTTTGATAAAGTATGATATTTATTTTAACATGTGATAGGATCATTTAAAATGGATTAATAACTATTTTGAAGGGTTTTTAGTCCTAATTCCTAATAAAATGGAATATATGGCAACAGGAAATAACGGCACTGAATTGTATTCCTTCGAGTTAAATCCTTGTGGGGCGAGGACGCCAGGTGTGTTCTGTGGTCTCCCTCTCCAGTTCCCTCCACTTATCAATACAGGAGGCAGGTTTACAACATTTCCGTTATAGCTAATGAACCTCACCCAGCTTTGGGAGATGTTCCTTAAATACCGTTTTCACTGTTTAGTTCAACAGGTTCCAACAATCACAAAGCAGTCGAAGGTACAAGTCGCCTTTCCCTTCGATGAATATTTTCAAATCGAATGTGAAGCTAAAGGCAATCCGGAGCCAAAGTGAGTATGTGTGGGATCCGCTTTCCTTGTTTTCCCTCTGACCTCTGACCTCCGACCTCAGTGTGCTTGGGGGGCTCGAGTCCACCTATGATGGAAGGTGAGGATCAGCAAGAAGGGCAGCCGCGGCTATAAAAATAAAGTCCGGTTATTCTTCATCTGATTTTCTGCCGGTTGAATTATTTTTACCCTGAAATAAATCGTCTCAGGTTAAACGCTTGGCGGAGGCGCGGCCCCCGTGCTGGTTCTCAGCGGGGCCTCACCTTGCGCGTGGACAGGTCACTAGGGTCCGATTACTCGTTCTACTGAGCGACGGTCGCGCCGATGAAGCAGAAGCTCATACGTCTATAAACGGTGTTCTGTGCGCGTTAATGATTGTCTTTAAATGCGACGCACTTGTTACCCAGTGAACAGGCCGTGAGGGTGTTTTTACCGTCAGAGAAACATTCAGTCATCGGACGCAGGATGCCTCCCGCGCGGTCATCGCTGCGTCGTATTTTCTATGGGTTCCGTGCTAGTTACTCCCGCTCGTTACAGTCACCGATGAAGTTTCCTTAACGGGCCCTCGGTGTCGGGGAGGACGAAAGGCCTGTGTTGGGGGCGAGGAGGGAGAGGCTGCGGGAAAATCCAGATTTTAAAGTTCTTGGTGACTCAGAATTGGCAGCAGCGGCACAGCTTTACCCATCCGCTTGGTATTTTATACCCATCACCGAGACACGTGTTCGGTGAAAATTTATTTTCTGAAGTTGTATCGTGACTAATGTTATTATTGCCAGATAATTTGACATTTTACAAATCATCTGCTGTGAATCATTAACATGTAAAGTTATCATTATTTGTCTATTTCACCAAATAGAATACATTCAATTACTGTGTGTGAATATAGACAAAATTACATAAAATAGAGTTCATCCAGCCAATGTGAGATATATAAATATTTCTGTGTGATACAATTTGCAAAATTTTTAAAAGCTATAAAAATTTTTCTTATGTTATTGCTCTGTCGTTCTCACTTCTGAGGAATTGGCCTAAAGAACCGTTTGGACAGGTAGGAAAGCCGAACGGAGACGGTTCATCCCAGCGTTGCTCACGAAGCGAAGAGATGGAAATAGTGAGGGGACTTGAATAGTAACCATAGGACGGAAGATTCCGTCTTCATCAGCATTGTGATAACTAGAAAACCCAATTAGCGAAATTATGTATTAATATAATGGTCTCAACGATGGGCCATCTATTGTAGTCTCCAAAATATTAGTAAACACCATGCATCCCTTTCTAATGGGAAAAATTAAAAAACAACTTTAATTCAAAAAGAACAGAACAAAGCCTGATGTAATGTGTATATTCTCTTAGTTACAGCAGCTTTTTTGGCCTGTTTCAGTCAGTTCAGGCTCAGTGGCTTCACAACACACGCTCATTTCTCACTGTTTGGTCGGCGTGAAGTCTAAGACCCAGGCGCCTGTGGGTTTGGCGTCTGGCGAGGCCGCTTCCTGGCTCATAGGCAGCGGCCCCTCTCTGTAACTTCACGTGGGGGGGGGTTAGCAGGAATGTGCTCTTTTATGGGGACACGAACCCCATTCGTGAGGACCCCACCCGCAGGACCGTATCAGCTCCCGCAGCCCCCACCTCCTAACCCCATCCCACTGGGGATTAAGCTTCAACAAATGAATTTGGGGAGATGTAAACATCGGTCTACAGAAGCTTGTCAGATGTCTTCTATTATAGTCCATTATTATTATCTTTTTTTACCATAAAGTAAATGTCTTGGTTTTGTCATTTCTGTGCATTTGTGTATAAATAGTTCAGAACACGCTGTGATTTGTCCATGTCATTAAGCGGAGTTTTCTTTACAGATTTACATGGACTAAAGATGGCAAGCCCTTCGACCTCTCCGACCCTCGGGTCATTGTCTCCAACAACTCGGGAACCTTCAGGATTCCCAACGAGGGGCAGATATCTCACTTCCAGGGGAAGTACCGCTGCCTCGCATCCAATAAGCTGGGAGTCGCTATGTCCGAGGAAATAGACTTTATAGTTCCCAGTGAGTATCACAGCGGAGATTTCAATTTATAGACGTTTTTGTCAAGTGTTAGGTAGGGGTAGTTCTGGGCTCTAATGAGACAGCACATCATTAATTTAATCAGCTGGTACGCAGCTTATATTTTATTTATAAGGGGAATTATCCCCCAGGTCTTGACACTTAGAAGGGGATGACCTTGGAAGCAATGAGGCTGCTGCACTCTGGCAACTTTTTATCTAATTCAGGAAAACGCAGCCCCCCCGCTTTGCACTCTGGTAACTTTGTATCTAATTTGGGAAAACACAGCCTCCGCTTTGCACTCTGGTAACTTTGTATCTAATTTGGGAAAACGCAGCCTCCGCTTTGCACTCTAGTAACTTTGTATCTAATTTGGGAAAAGGCAGCCTCTGCTTTGCTCCTGATGAGAGCTGAGTTATACATGGTGTTAGTTAGGCTCAGCCAGTTAACGCTGCAGTAACAACTCGTCCCCCAGCCGTGTTCACACAGGGCCATTCCTTAATCACGTGGTTTGCTGTGGGCCTGGCCGCCCGTCGGTCAGGGCGGCTGACCCCCACAGCCTCCTCGGTGGCTCTGCATCATGCTGTGGCCGCAGCATGTGACCGTGGCCACGGTCGGGGTGTGGGGCAGAGAGCGTGAAAATCTGCCCCTGAGGAGAAGTTACACAGGCAACTTGTAGTTTGTTGGGTGGCTCCAGGGAAATCCTGAGCTCACCTGGTTTCAATGTGAGAGTCCATCAGGAGACGAGGGACAGGTTCCCACCTGGAGAAGCATTTCTCCGAGGCCTCTGGGCGGACTGGAGACGTCCCTGTGAAGGGGAAAAGTGTTTTGAATGTTAGAAAGAGANTGGACCAGAGACGTCCCTGTGAAGGGGAAAAGTGTTTTGAATGTTAGAAAGAGATTTGGACACAACTCAGCCGTCGTGGTTGGGAAGGTTTCTTCATAGAGGAAATCAAAGGCGCATGGGCCTGCTCGGATGTTTGGATCCCCTTTTTACCAAAAGACGCCAGGAAGAGAGGGAGACCATAAGCCACGCCGAGAAAAAATGGTTGCCAACGGATATAACTAAAGACAGCGTTACATAGTTATGAATAATTTTGCAAAGCTGCGATGGAAAGTGGAGACGCCCAGGGCAAGAACGTTCGCCTCAGACCGGAGTCACCAGCGGAAGCCGGTCTACGGCCTGAATCGAGAAACTGACCCAGGTGATAAAAGCACTTGACCCCACAGGGCTGGGCAATGCCCCGGAGCCTGGGAGGAGCGACGTGGGTGGGAACACGAAGCTCCCAGGATACGTGTCCCTTGAAGCCACCAGTCTGCTAGGTCGGTGGAAGTGGCCACCAGCCCTCCTCAGAGGACGGTGCCCCACCCACGCCCAGCAGTTTCATGTCCTGTCCACCCGCCTGCGCCTGGTCCCTGCGCCTGGTCCCTGCCTGTGGTCCCTGCGCCTNTTGCGGCCTGGTCCCTGCGGCCTGGTCCCTGCGCCTGGTCCCTGCCTGTGGTCCCTGCGCCTGGTCCCTGCCTGTGGTCCCTGAGCAGCAGGCTCATTTGTGGCAGCATCGTCTGTATTAAAAACATGCTGGGCAACATGAATCCCGTCATCGCAGGACAAATAAGTAAATGGTGGTACATCCAGAGAAAACCGTGAGTCAGCAGCGAGTACCATTTTGTGTGATAAAATGATAACAAGAAACCAGACGTGGTGGAAACAGAAGCGGGGAGGGTGATGACCTCTAAGGGAATGAGGGGGGCGGACGCACAGAGACGGGTCCCGGGGAAGTTGTTTCCTGTGCAGCGGGGGTGCCTGAGAGCGTCAGCCGCACGCTTTCCCCCTTTGTCACCCTTTCCGTTTGCTTTACAAATGGTCCCTTTGTGTACGTGACACCGGTGCGTCGGTGGCCTGCTGGTTTGTCTGCGTTAGTAAGTGGGATCTCGCAGCACCGGCCGAGGCAGCGCAGTGACGCGTAAACTTGGAAAGGATCTCAGCGGTTTGGGTTGGAGGTGACATTTGATAGCAAATGTTAATGAATTCTGCATCCAAAGGCATTGTCATGGAAATTGTGGTCCAGGATCATAAAACTAGATTGATCAGTCTGTCATCCATCCATCAATAATCTATCCATCTATCAACCTATCAATCATCTATCTGAAATTAACCGAAATGAGAGACAGAGAGGGAGAGGGAGAGGTTATTAAAAATCTGTGTAGAAGGCCTGGCATTAGGCCGATCCCTAACCCGAATTCGGGTGGTTGCTATGGAGACGCGAAGGGAAGGCAGCAGCCAGACCTATCGCAGAGAAGGAAACGGCACATTTTCATCTACGATTCTGCCATTAAAGGATTTTTAAAGATATTTCTCTGCCTAGGGAAGCAGATTGAGCCAAGACCTGAACAATGCCAGGGGATCCTGGCCAGAACCTGCTGGCGTTGCTGCTAAGAGCTGATCATGGATTTGAGCTAAGTGGCGGGAAATTGCGCCTTTTTTTCTGCTGCTGTGAAAAGAGAGAAATAAATTAGTTTCTTACGCATCGTGTTCAGCCTCCTGAATGACTTGATCGCCTAACTGCTCTCTGTGATCAGTTATATCTTGAGGACGACCAGACCCCAGTTCTCAGGCGTTTATAAATCAGACCAGCTAACGCTACAGCTGGTCTCTACGACCTCCATCAGTTGAGTCTTTTCTTACACTGCAGAGACTTGATTATATTTTTATATTAATAGAACCTTGTGACATGAGCTTTATAACTCATCTCTCTCATTTTTTGAAGTTTTAGTTGGTAACCTCAAAGACTCCAGCCCCCNGTGAGCTTTATAACTCATCCCTCTCATTTTTTGAAGTTTTAGTTGGTAACCTCGAAGACTCCAGCCCCCTAAGTTCCGACCTGAGCACAGTAGCTGAAAATCCCATTATGTCCCTACAAACATAAACCTTGTACACAGTGTTTCTTGCCTCTGGCCCCTTCTTGCCGCCTCTGTGAAAGGCAATTCCAAATATTCAAACACCCATCAGAGGCCGGAGCAGGAGAGAGCTCCCTGCCCTGGGCCGCGCGTCCCCACCCTGAGGTCTGGGTGTACCTCCTGGGCAGACCCCTGAACCAGAGCCACCGAGTGTCACGTGATCTTTACGAGCCAACACTGTTTTAATCGATTTATATGAAATGATTCATTTAAACTCTGATATCCATCAGTGAAATAGGTGTCACTGCAGTTCCCACTTTATGAATGAGGACCGCTCGTCTGAAATAAGTCGTCGGGCTGAAGCACAAAAGAAAAACCATCATTTATGACTCACTTTATAAAGTGCTGCCTGTGTCCAAACTCAGCGATGTAATGGTTCTTNACCCTGAGGTCTGGGTGTACCTCCCGGGCAGACCCCTGAACCAGAGCCACCGAGTGTCACGTGATCTTTACGAGCCAACACTGTTTTAATCGATTTATATGAAATGATTCATTTAAACTCTGATATCCATCAGTGAAATAGGTGTCACTGCAGTTCCCACTTTATGAATGAGGACCGCTCGTCTGAAATAAGTCGTCGGGCTGAAGCACAAAAGAAAAACCATCATTTATGACTCACTTTATAAAGTGCTGCCTGTGTCCAAACTCAGCGATGTAATGGTTCTTGCCGGAGAAACACAATTAGCAAAAGTCACCGGTGAGTCATTTTTAAAAGGAGCCATGTCTTCATCTGACGTAGAGCGGACCTCACGCCTGCCGCTGAGTTATAGCAATTACATTTCACATGTACCTATGGGTGTCGCAGCGGTTGCTTCCCAACCTGGCATCACACTCATAAATGGTTTCAAAGTCAAAGAACAGGGACCTAAAAACCCCACATATTAATACCTTTTGGCGTATCTGTTCTTAGACCTTAAATTCTTACATATATAAATATTCTCCCTGTTTCCAGGTAATAATTTCATCTTTGGCTGAAAGCTGTTACAGAGATTTCTGGCACAGGATACAGGGTTTGGTAGACTTATAAATTTTATTTTACTTTATTTTTCATTATGGATGCCTTAGAAGCCACTGGAATTACATTATTTACCTTTTCAGAGTCGGAATTTTATAACCTAGATTTAATAAATGCAGGGACGAGCGTGCTTCCCTGGCAATGCTGTCTGAATCGTTAGATTTTCTGAGTGCTCCGAGGGTGATATTCTCTAATTAGGGCTCCATACATCATATTAATCAGCGACTTTACAAGGGACGTCCCCTGGGAAGTGAGTATTCAGGCTGGGCCTGTGGAGTTTGCTCGTTACAGTCAGAATTGCGTGGTCTTGGCATCTCAGAATCTGTTTCCTTCCTCTGCTGCCCCCGTGTCTGAGTATAAACAGACCCTGCAACTACCCAGCGGCCCTGCTAACTTCACTGCCGTGAACACTGGGCTCAGGTAAAGCCTGTGGCACTAACCGAGGGACTGGAATTTGGAGCTTTGGGCAGGTTCAGCCTGTAAGTCACTAGGCTGGACTCGGGTGAGGTAGACTTTCTGCCCAACATTTTGGGTAACACCTGCCCTCAGTCAGGGCTGGCCACACAGGTAGGTGGCACCAATGTTCATCTGCAGGACCCGAGTGTGGTGACGCGCTGAGCAGGTTCCTGCATTTTGACGGGATGCGCTCTACCTGGAGCAGAAGCAGGATTCCGGGGCGGCTGCCATCCAAACGCGTTCCTGGACCTGCCGGGAGAGATGAGCTAGGAAGAGGTGACCAGGGGGAAGCCTCCGGGGACCATCACATGACAGAAGCCGGCTGTCCCAAGGGGCCAAGGCCATGCAAGGCCCACCCTGCCCCCTGCAGTGCTGAGCTGTGGAAGGTCCTTGATTTCAGACAAAAAGAGTTCACGGCAGCCAGCTGGCGCGTCGATGAGAGAAACAGCCAATTCCCTCGGCCGAGCAGGGCCCTACAGGAAATGTGCCAAGCTCCTCGCAAAGAGAATTTACAATAAAAGAGTGTACCTTCCGGCCTCCGTGAGCAACGACCATCTTCTGTGGACCACGATGGAAGAGCGAAACACAGGGGGAAACCCTAACCCGTCCCGCTCAGCGAGGCCTGTTATTAACCCCTCCGAGGCCTTCTCCTGAGACCTGGGGAAATCCCGTAACCCAGGTTCCCTCACAGGGTCGAAAGGTGCCAGCGTAATGTGCAGCCAAACACACTTTGAAAATTCTTACAGCTGTCTTATAAATACCTTCATAGAAATAGCCGGGGCTGGCGTTGGACCTCGAATTCGGCACGTGTGACTCCAGATTGCTGTCACTGCCTCGCTCTCAGGGAAGGTCCTGTGCGGGGAAGAAACAAAATGTTGGGAGGTCACAGTGTCTCCTCCCCTATGTCACGTCCCCGCCACCTAACGTTTCATTTCCCGGGAGCAGCTCCAACGCAAAGCTCTCTTTCCCCTTGACCTGGCCACGCTCGGCCTCTCACTGCACTTGCACCGTTTCCCCAGCCCGGGCCCTGAATTTCCCATTTGGTTCGGTCATGCTCTGAATGAAATACTGGCCGATCACCTTCAAAGGCTTCACCATAGAGCAAGAGGTCGTATTTCTGCCTGAAAAGAAATCTCAGTGTTTGCAGAAAAAGGTGCTGCATCCATCAAAGCCTAAAACGCGCGGAGCCTGTGGCTCGGAGCTCAGTGCTCTGGGCAGGGAAAGAGGCTTATTGTCGCCTCGCAGGAACGTGTCTGTGGCCGACAGTTACAGCACACACACGTTTTCCTAAAGCTGTACAGGATGCACCCCGATTCCCAACTGCATGTCTCCTGCAGGGGAGACGGGGGAACCCAGGTGGGGGGGTGTTGAATTTATTTAGAACGCTCTGATTTTGTAAAAGAATCCACCCAAATGTTACTTGTGACATTGAAAGTTAATTTTAACATCATGGCTTAAAGTGACTTTTTTTAATACCAGATGTTCCAAAGTTCCCCAAAGAGAACATCGAGCCCCTTGAAGTGGAGGAGGGAGACCCCATTGTCCTGCCCTGCAACCCACCCTCGGGCCTCCCCCCCCTGCACATCTACTGGATGAACATCGGTGAGTCATGCCCGGGTCAGCTCCAGGCGGGTCGGCAACACACTGGGCAGAGGCAGGAACGGTCAGCAGGTTCTCAATGTGGGGTCGGACGCGTTTTATAAACTAGAGTCTGCTCCAGGGTTTAAATACACACTTAGGGTGCACACGGAGACGCTAGAAAACCACCGAATAGACCTCTCAATCTCGCCCCGTCTGAAAAGAGCAGAGGCTGGTGATGAGTGAGACGCATCCCCAAGAAGGCGCCTCCTGTGTGCGGGCGACCTGCTTGCCTCCGGCGCGGCCCCCAGGTCAGGCCTGAGCCGGCCCGTGTGTCGCTGGCGTTGTTTCTGTCTTAGGAACGTTTCACCCTCTCCGCGCCGTGCCCCACGGAGAGATCAGCATTAACACTCGTCGTCACTTTTCCAAAATGTTTTCCTCACTTTTGAGTTGAGAGCCCAGCTGCTGGTCAAGTCCCTCCCGGCAGCACCTCTGCAGTTTTTATCTCGCGGCCACGGCGGAGGCGACCGTGCTGCGCGCTCCCGGGCGGAACCGAGGGAGCGGCTCCTGGGGGGCCAGACGCTCGCGCTGCAGCCCCCGAGCTTTCCAGGCCGCATCCGGGAGAGAGTCAGTCTCAGAGGCCACGTTTGGGGGGATCTGTTTAAAGAAATATGATCCTAGGACAGTAAATGGGGCAATTAGGCCATTATCCGGATTGGACCGGTTTTCTGATCGGCCCACGCAGGCCCCCAGGGCAGAGTCGAGGCTCAGGGGGCAGAGGGAGGGGGGGGTGCCCACCGG